TAAATAAAATTGAAGTAAATGGAAAAAGTTTCATATTATAAGAAATTATCATGGTGCTATAATCACTTGTACCATTCAATTTGGACCGAAAGATTCATAAAGAATCCACTTTGAAAAGACACCACTTGATGTTGAGCAATTTCAACCTCTCCGCTTGCCATCAATCTATGGTGCTTCTTCCTTCACATGATCAACAAAGCCTTGTGGTCCTCTAAATCTTTAAACCAATTCTAAATAATACTCATAATCTTGTCGAACTTATTTATTTAAGCAATTAGAGTAACTTGCATCAATGGTCCTAGTCATCTAGCGCAATCTGCGTGTTTGATTTCTAATTTTTTTTTTCTTTTTTTTAAATTCGGATCATCTCGTATTTTGATTTTGTTTTGCTTTTGTCCGTAATCAACATAGAATGACTATTTTGCCTTTGATGCAAATTTTAAAATATTTTTTTATTGTTTATAGTTTCATTATAAATTCAAATAGGTAAATCCATTTACATGATATTAGAAACATTATCACAACCATAGAATGTTAAAAATACAACTTTTGAAAACTGAGATCTCATTTGTTTTTGGAGAGTTGATGAAGATAATAAAAACTCAAAGAATAGTTTTTCTATAATGTATCCACCAATAAGATTAAGTCAACAAGAATACTAATTCTCTCTTGTAAAATATTTTTTAAGCCTTTAAGAACTTATCACTTGCATTTACAACCTCTTAACTTGCAAAATTTATTGTTCACAATTTATACGTTTATTTGCCTAGAAAATTTTAAAGGGAAATTAAATAATCTATAACTACAATTTGGTGTGTTTTTGAAGAAAATAACAAAAAAAATACAAAAATAACCATTTGATTTGGAATGGACATTGTTAATAAAGAAAAAACACTTTTTCTGACAAAAAAAACATTTTGAACCGAATTCTGAACAACATTCTGGATTATGGACCAACATTCCAAGTTTCGAATTGAAATTTCGGATTTCAAAAACAAATCTCTGAAATTTCTAGATCATGTCTGAAATCCGATAAATAATTCCATAATTTCGAGAAAAAAATTGCTTTTTACTTAAATCTAACACAATGTTAAACAAACATAGTATACTATGTGAACTATATACGTTATTAATTTACAAAATCAGACATTTTATTGAAAATAATAACATTAAAAAATTTGAAATATAGATTTCAGACATAAATAAAGATATTTCCTTTCAAAAAAATTGAAAAAATATCAATAAATAACTTTGAAATTTGAACATCAAATCTGAAATGGAGCATTAGAATGCCAACAAAAAAAAGATTTCTTTAAAAAAAATTAATTTAGAACAAAACTTCGGAATATGAACAATACACACAAATAATGGCATTCCGAAGAAAATAGTTATTTTTAATAAAATAAAAATAGGGATTATTTTCTATGAAAAAACCTTTTTAATGGTTAAATTACCTAATTTCTCAAATTTAAAGTTTCTACTAGCAATGGTTAGCAATCTTATCTTAGGTGCTAATAAATCAAAGATCATGTGTTCAATTCTTGATTCCGTGTTTTTTTTAGATACTTGCTTTATAATTATTAGACAAAACTGCACAAATGGTCCCTGTGATTAGCTGAAAATTATCATTTTGGTTCAAAAATGTTTGGACTAGCACCAGAGGTCCAAACTTTTCATTTTGTTGCGAGTTTGGAACAACTTTCTATAAACTTTTTCATAATGTTTATTTTGACCTTATATTTTTTTCTTTTTTAGTTTTTTTAATTATTTAAATACTTTCTTGATTAAAAATAAAAAAGAAAAATTGCATTTTGTATTTTATTTTTATAATTTTTTATAAGAAAATAAAAAATGAAATCTCTCTCTCTCTGTGAAAAAATCAACATTCGAGACAAGAATTTCTCCTTCTTTCTTCTTCATCCCCTGGAAACACACCACAAACACATACAAAAAATTCTTCATTTTCAGGGACGAGATCGGAGACGTGAGCCGATTTTGGAGACAAGCAATTCTACGGCGACTCTAGGGCTTGCTTTAACAAGCGGTTCCAACTCCATCGTGTGTGACTCGAAGGCAACACATCTGAGGAGGAACTCGTCGTCTGATGAGGATATCAGAGATGTGAAACCGAGAACCCCTTAACTCGATCTGAAAGCCCTTCATCAGATCTGATTTCGTGTGTTTGTGTTTATCATATTTGATTTCATGTGTGTGTGTGTTCATCAGATTTGATTTCGTGTGTTTGTGTGTGTGAGTGTGTTCATCAGATCTGCTTTCGTGTGTATGTGTGTGTTCATCATATTTGATTTCGTGTGTATGTGTGTGTTTGTCAGATCTGATTTCGTGCGTGTTTATGTTAATCAGATATGGGGTTCATAAATGTGTTGTTGAATGTAAGTGTGTGTGTTCTTGAACTCTTGATGAAGCTTCAGATTTGGCAATAATTTTTTGGGGGAGAGCTCAAGAACAAACCCAGATGTTGTGTATGTGTGTGTTTTTGTTTCAAGAATGATTTTTAGGTGGAGATAGAGGTGGTGGTAGTGGCGGACGGTGGTCGAATGGTGGTGATGGCTATGTTCTTGAGTGCTCGTGAATTTATGATGATGTTCTTGAGTGTTTATCAAAACAAACCCAGAGAGAGAGAGAGATGTTGTATATGAGATATATTTCATTTTTATTTTTTTTTATTTTGTTATAAAAAATATAAAAATAAAATTGAAAATGTAAATTTTCTTTTTTATTTTCTTATAAAAGTTATAAAAATAAAATACAAAATGCAATTTTTCTTTTTTATTTTATCTTTTAATCAAGAAAGTATTTAAATAATAAAAAAACTAAAAAAGAAAAAAATAATAAGGGCAAAATAATCATTATGAAAAAATTTATAGAAAATTAGACCAAACTCGCAACAAAAATAAAAGTTTAGACCTCTGGTGCTAGTCCAACCTTTTTTGATCATAGTGACAATTTTCAACTAACCATAAGGACCATTTGTGCAGTTTTGTCTAATTATTTCGTGCCCATATTATCAACTATTTGTAGAAATAATCATTGTTTAATTAGAAAATTAGAGAAACGGTTCATATCTATCTTAAAAAGTAGAGAAATGGTCTCTACATAATAACTGCCTTATAGCAAATATATATATATATATATATATATATATATATATATATATATATATATATATATATATATATATATATATATATATATATATATATATATATATATGGGAAAAGTGAATATATCCTTAAGAGTATATAAGCTTAGGTATCCAAACCCATTATAATACGTCATTTTATTTAATATATTCATTATATGTTCTTAAATTTCAATCCTTAACTTGATTTACTTTCAAAATTTTCGAAATTTCATTATTATCTTCCTCTTACATCACATCTTTTTGTCGAACACCTACTTAGGCTATATATATTATAGTTGAAAATGAAAATTATGTAACATGAATATAAATGTGAAATTGATAAAAATCTTGGAAGTAAATCAAGTTAGAAGTTGAATTATAAGAAAATTGGATAACTACAATGTATATATATGATAATAAGGATGTAGTATAGTGAGTTTGGGTATTTAAGCTTATATCCTTAAGGGTATATTCACTTTTCCATATATATATATATATATATATATATATATATATATATATATATATATATATATATATATATATATATATATATATATAAAATAGTGCACGTGTTTTCATAAAATTACAAAAAACGGTCATTGTCTAATAGGAAATTTATAAAAATTCCTTACACACAAAGTTACAAAATTTGTCCATGTCAAATGGCAAAAATAATATAAATGGTCCATGTTTAGAATAAAATTATGGAAACTTTCCCTGCCTAATAGCGAAGTGATCGACATGGTCCTTATGTTTCATAGAAATTACAGAAAATAGACCTTAGGTAACATGTTATTATAAAAAAAAATGTTTAAAATGAAGGATTAAAATGATCACCCATGTCCATATTTGTATTTGTTTTTTTATCTTTTATATTTAGATCATCTTACATGTAACATCATTGATGAGTCTTGTATTATTTGTTAACATCATGATAATTATTAATTTATTTATATTTATGGCAAAAAAAATTTAGTTTAGAAAGATTATCAAGCATCGCATCAAGTCATAATATAACTTGAAAAACGATTAGGTCCTCGTCGAAACTTGAAGGCAAACACCGATTAGAGGAGAATACCAAAACCAATGTTATTATATGGGTGTGTGCATATGACCTTTTATTATGATGATATTGTGTCAATGATGTGGACTAAGATACTAAACTTTTTGGGTTCTAAAGTTGGTTCAAAGTGGTCCAATAACTGGTTTTCTGGCCCCGAAACCAATACCAAACATGCTTACGTGGTCCAGTATTCGGTCCACTGTTTGGTCTACGAAAAATCATATTTGACTCTAGATATACAACTTTGAACCCAATCATATCATATCATCTACTTCTAGGATTAGCCTTTTACCCATATCGAAGGAGCCTTGAATTGGATGCCCTTTAATGTTTTCTAACATATTCGCGAACATTGATTGAAAATTGAGTACATTTTGAAATGGACTAATATCACTAAAGTCTCATGTTTTTTGCACTAAATTGGGAAAAGCCCTGAATTTAATTTTTTTCGTTTACTGTGACCACGATATTTTCGTGGAATTATCATTTGAGAGCGTATACCTAGTCACCAGCAAGTAACCTGTTCTATCCGGTCACCACTAAGTTATTCCCCAGCCATCACCTTTCACGAACCATCACTGATAAAGGGTTTCATGCATTCGAGAAGGGTTTGACGTTAAGAAGGGTTTCACAATCCCCAATTTCATAATTTGAAGCTCCAAAATCATTGGTGAAGTAAGGTGGAGTAGAAAGGTACATGTATGTAAACAAGAAATTGATGATTCTGAGGGTGGTTATCTTCGTCTATGGTGTATGGAGTTCCAAGTTTGAACTATCAAGTTTTTTTTAATGAAACATGTGGCTTATACTTCTAGAACTAAGAAGCGTAAAGGGCCTAATCTCCATGAGAAGACATACCTTCCAAACTTTAACTCCGATGATGATGCATTTGACTTTAGCTTCTTAGATTTTTCTGAAAAAACTTTCAAAGCCCCTACAAAACTATGTGATGGTCATTTTATTAACTTATTGTTTGACGAAAACATATTAAGGAGGAGTATTGATGGAATGGTAGATGATGGAGACATTCCTGGTGTCCAACAAAATGATCATGCACACTTAGATGAGGACAATGAAGATGTTGGTGTGGTGTATAAGGTGTATGATCCTAATGTTGTCTGGAAAGAGATGAGGCCCCAATTAGGAGACTGTTATGAACCACCTGCTCATCTCAGGTTTTCGTTAACTAACTATACAGTCCATGGAGGATACCAGCTTTATTTTGAAAAAGTGATAGAGTGAGTGTTATAGCTAAGTGTGGTAGTGGAAGCAGTGACAATAAAAAAATGCAGTGTCCATTTAGGGTTGTAGCTGGATGGAAGTACTATGAAAGGACATTCCAAATTAAATTTTGTAATGAAATTCATCTGTGTGCTAGGAATTATCATTTTGGTTCCCTAGTTACTAGCAATTGGTTAGCCAAACACTACCTGAAAGATGTAATCATGAAGCCCAAGATGACAATGCTAGAGATGCAAGCAGATGTGCTACAAAGGTTTTCAGTAAATATATCAGTTGGACAATGCCAAAGAGAAAGGGCTACTTCAATGGGGATGATAAAAGGGAAGTTAGAAGACCATTATGCCAAGGTTTGGTACTATGCAGCTGCAATTAGGTTGAGTAATCCGGGTACAACTTGCTTGGATGGTGTAGAAAGTAATTTGGGGTGTAACTATTTCAAAAGGTTTTATGTTGGCTTCAGGCTTTCAGGGATGGATGGAACAGAGGATGTAGAATGGTAATCGGACTAGATGGTAGTTTCTTGAAGGGCCAGGAAAAGGGGAGATTTTAACTGCTATTGGGAGGGATGCAAACAACCATGTCTACCTAATAACATGGGCAATTATGAATGTTGAGAATAAGGACAATTGGACCTGGTTCATTGAGAATTTGGTTGCTGATTTGGATCTTGGTGCTAGAAATGAACTGGTTGTTATCTCAGACCAACACAAGGTACCAACAACATATATTAGTTTACAATATATATTTCTATGTTACACTCATTAATTTCTACATGTGTTGTGTTTGTTTGTTAATTATAGGGAATTCTACAGGCTGTGATAGACTTACTCCCCCATGTTAAGCACAAACAATGTGCTCGACACATTTTTGCAAACTTTAGGAAGAAATTCACAGGATTGGAGCTAAAGAATTTGTTTTGGGAAGCTGTTATGAGTACAGTGGAAGGGGACTTTCTTGCTACAATGGAGAAGATAAAGAAGATAACAGAAAGAGGATACACTTATCTTATGGCAAGGAAACCTGAAACCTGGTGCAGAGCCTTCTTTTCTCATGCGTATACTTGTGAAGCAGTAGAGAATGGGGTTGCAAAATGTTTTAATGGCATGATCAAAGAAATAAGGAAGAACCTCTACTTACAATGCTTGAGGAAATAAGGATTCTCCTTATGAAAAGGTTTTTTCATCAAAGTCAAGAGGTAGCCAAATAGAGGGGTAATTGTGGGCCTAACATACAACCAAAGATTGATGAATTTGGGAAAGATGTGAGGTAATATAAGTTTTTATGGACATGTATCAAAATATATTATGTATTTATTGTTTATGTGTGTACTTTGTTTGTTTTGTGTGTTGGTTATGGATAGTGGTGCCAAGTGGTAGTGATGTGTTTGAGACTAGGTATGGCTACAATGTATACAAGGTTTATTTAGCTACTGACACTTGCATGTGCAGCTTGTGGATGTTGTCGGGCATACCATATGTGCATAGTCAAGCTGCAATATAGTTCAAGTCAATTCCTTTCTACTTGGTTCCATAAGGACAAATATGTTGCAACATACAGTCAGAACATACAACCTGTAGGTGGAAGAAACTTGGGGCCAATGACTAACTTTATTAAACCATTACCACCCCTATGTAGAAGGATGCCTGGAAAACCCAAACTAAAAAGAGTGAAACATGCATCTAAATCACAAGATGCCAAATACCCCTCACAAAGGTTAAAGGTTCCTAGGACTGTGAGGTGTGGAAAGTTCCAACAACTTGGGCGTAATAAGATTTCATGCACAAATGATGAGGTACCTAAACCTCCATGTCCCAAAAAGGAAGATTGGAAGACCTAGGAAATATGGGGGAGGCCAACCTATCTTTGACTAATTCCCTCCGGTTGGTCCTGCTATACCAAGAAATGATGTTGCTCCTCCCCAGGTTTCAGAATCAGGTGATCAAGATGGTGGTCCTGCTGTTAGTACTATTAAAAGGACTAAGATTATGGAAAGGAGAGGGGGGAAACTAAAGTGTCTGGATCAAGGAACAAAACACCAAAGAAAACACCTAATGGTAAGCAACATAAGAGTTAATCAAAGGAGGACGTGTCCCTAACCTGTGATGAGGATTTTGATGATATTTTTACCCATAAACCTAATGGTAAGCAACCTATGATTCAAGAAAAGGAGGATGTTCAAGAGAATGACAATGAGGTGAAGGTGAATGAAATGGTTACTTTAAAGGAGTTGCTGCTGTCTGGATATACACATGCTGATGCAGTGGCTACTATGAAAGAGGTATGCATTGTTACACAATTTTTGGCTTTCATATTGTAGCTTTACTAACTAGCTTGCCATATTGTAGGTTTATGGAGAATTTGAGGAAACAGATGTTGATGAAAAAGATGTTCAGAAAAGAGATGTTTAGGAAAAATAGATTGAAGAAAGAGAGGCTCAGGAAGAAGTTGAAGAGAGAGAGAGAGAGAGAGAGAGAGAGAGAGAGAGGTTAAGGAAGAAAAAGTTGAAGGCAGAGAGGTTGAGGAAAAAGAAGTTGAAGAAATAGAGGTTGGGGAAGAAGAAGTTGAAGAGAGAGAGGTTGGAGCAAGAGTGATGCCCTTGGGTCCTGGTTCTTAAAATTTTCATTGGGAAAAAAAGAGGACTGAATTAGGAAACTGAAGCTCAGGAAATGGTTGAAGATGTTGGTGGTTGTAGTTCTTACAAAACCCCTTGGCTTTTAAATTAAGAAGTTGTATTCAATGGTTGAATGGGTAGAATGGGAATTAGTTAATAGGTTGCCATTTTTGTAAACATCTAATTTTGATACACTTGTCTTTTGGTAACAAGCTTCCAATTCATGTCAATGTTTGGTAGAATTGGAAGTTTGGTTCTAATTAGGTTACATGATATGGTAGTAGTTTGTGGGAAGCTTTGTAAAGTACATTCCCCTTTTGGGGCTGTTAACTGACATTGATATTTAGGAAGCATTGTAAACGACCTTGTATGATTGTTATGTTATCAATATATATGCCTTGATCAATATTATTGTTGTTACCTTCCATGTTTTGGTTAGTTTGGTAAGTAGGTTGTTAAATTTTCAAGATTTGGTTATTTTCATACATATGTATGTGTTAAAGGACTTAATACATTGTTATCATTAAGACATAATAAGTTGTTATCATTGTCATCTCTTACAAAACCAAAATATTACCACACATAACACATGCATCTACTTACTACCTAACTTGACCAAAATACCCTTACACCTAAACTACTACTACCATTCTACTTGAACCTAACTAAAGCCCACAACTTCACAATGCTTTAACCACGACATTATGAACCATAAACCCCATCACAATCACCACCACCAAAAGCATGACCATCATAAGTAGCTCCACCTTCAACATATTTAAACTATCTACTTGAACTGCTTTGTTGTTCTTGGCCTCCTCCAAAAGCTTCAAAATCTCCATTCCAAATGCTTTATTGTTCTTAGCCTCCTTCAAATCCATATGGAACTTCCACATAGTTTCATTGTAGTAAGTGTTTGGCAGTGGTGGATCAAGCCATAAAAAAATTCGCATATTTTTTAGTCTTGCACAACAACCACTTCTTCATATTGGTTCAACAAGACCACAAAAAGTAGGAAACTTAATATTACCTGATAGTTTGGACACCCTCTGAATTCCCTCCATGGATTATTGACGGTTTTGGAGATCGAGAATGTCGTAGGTTCATCGCATACGCATCTCAAATCTTCAGACCAACGATTCCTTAAAGCCTATTCTATGTACCCTTGTGTGTGCGTGTTGGAGGAGCTTACCATCTTTTTGGTTTGACGTTGGAGAGAAGAATCTAACAAAACCTAGCTAACAACTACTTCTAACGTTCGACTAAGCTTTGTAACCTACTGAAACCGTTGAGACCGACACTTTGTCCTTTTGCCATAATTTCACGAAAATATCGTGGTCACAGTAAACGAAAAATTAAATTCAAAGTTTTTCCTAATTTAGTGCCAAAAACATAGAACTTTATTGATATTAGTCCTTTTGAAATTGATAATTTAATAGCAATAAATGTGTGATATTTCTCAATGAACTGCAACTTTCATATAAATACCTTTTTTTTTTTTTTTTTTGCAAAAAATTAATCTCATGCAAACGGTTTTGCAAAACATATCCTTAAAGGTTTTAGCGAAAAATTTTGATTTTAGTTCCAATAAAATCACTAAATTTTGACAAAAATCTTTTATTTTGATCACTTTAACTTGCAAGTCAAAGTTGTCGACATAGAAAATATTGTCAAACTTACTATAATAATTATTTATGAAACCAAAATTAGTTGTACTATAAAAATGGCCAGTATAGTACCTGTTAATGCAATTTGCCTTCTTTTATTTGTAGCACTTACTATAATGTTTCCAAATTTGTTTATTTATTATCGGAGATTCCAAAAGCATGGGCGGATATAGTATGTGGCACGGAACAACACGGGCTACCTCACAAATTTTCTCGTTAAATGTAAATATAGAAAAAATCATCGAAAATCCGTTACAAATCTGTTGGAAATCCGTCACAAATTTTCTCGTTAAATGTAAATATAGAAAAAATCATCGAAAATCCGTTACAAATCTGTTGGAAATCTATCACAAAGTTTGATAATTGCGATTTAGTGTAATTTCATTGGTTTCATGATGATTTTGCGATAGAAACTGGCTTTTGAAATGAGTTTTTTGTTTTTTTTTCCTAGTAGTGCAATCCCTAAAAAGTTTGTGCAACCCCTGATAGTTCAAAAGAATTGATATTTACTAGTGACCTCTTCTTAATAACTGGTTTATTACAATAATTTTGAAGGTGGGAAAATTTGGATGTACTCGTATTGGTTGATCACTTGATTGTGAGGGACCTTGTGATTTTCAAAGACGAATTAGATGGCTGTTATTATAATTGTTTTATGTTAGTCATTAAGCAATTGGATTAAAAAGAAACTTTAAATGATGAAAGACATATTGGGATGATGATTTTCCATTTTGGGCAGAATAACATGAAAAAGTAAATGGGCCAATGGGGTGGTTATAAGGTGGGCTGATAATGATTGTGGGCTGCAAATATCGTTTAGACTTTAGAACGACAAAAATATCCAAACCTTAATAAAAATAAAAATTGAATCTGATTTTTAGGAGATAACTGTTGTTTTTATGTGTTTTTATTGCATATTATGAGTGACGGTCAATTGAACCAATATAACATATTAGAGCTTCCTCCGTTGTCATATGTACAAGATAATTTTTTAAGTTAAGGAACAAAAATTAGTAAAAAAACTAGATTATATAATACTGTGGAAGATAAAAGATCGAAAGCTTAGAAAATAAAAGTGATAATTGGTAAGGGTGAGATTTTAAAAAGTGGAAAGTTAAGGATGTCAAAGTAAATGTGGTTAAACATGAATTTTTAGAAAATAAAAAGGTGAATGTGATATTTTAAAAAGTAAAAGGATAAAAAATATTATTTTATAAAATATAAGTGCTAAAAGTGACAAATTATGGAAAGTTAAGGGATTGAAACCTTAACTTAATATGCATTACCATACATATACATTGCGCATCATAAATTGTAAGTTTATATATATATATATATATATATATATATATATATATATATATATATATATATATATATATATATATATATATATATATATATAATAGGTGAATACCCGCGCGTTGCGGAGAAACACCTATATAGTTGAAGTCTTTTCAAATATATGTTTTTTAAATATAACAATAACATTGTTGTTAAATTTGATATAATAATTTCTATATATATTAAATTGATATAATATATTGATTATTTTGAATTATATGATAATATATACATTTACTTAAATTTCATAATCTCAATCGTTTTCCGCGAGTTATACATAAATAAAATTAAATATAATATATGATTTGATGTTGTTTATAGTTGTTTTTATTCTATTTAATTTTTTAAAATTTATTTGCTTAATGTTTTAATTTCTATCATTATAATAATTTAAAACATCAATTGTTTTTTTATTGTAAAACTAACAATATAATCATTTATATAAAGTTGTTTTTAACTATTGCTATTGTAAGTTATTTTAAGCTACTTATTTGAAAACTTTTAACGATTATAAAAATATATTTAAGAAATGTTTTAGTTAAATTGAGATTACAATTTAGTTTTTGCTTTTATCACTACAATTTATCATTTTTAACTATTTACAAAATATTCTTTAGTTTTTTAAATGGAACTTAAATTTATATTTGAGTTGACATTGTAATGCGCAGAAACACATATATAGTTGAAGTCTTTACAAATATATATATTTTTAAATATAACTTTAACGTTGTTGTTAAATTTGATATAATAATTCATATATTAATTTGATATAATATATTGATTATATTGAATTATATGATAATATATACATCTATTATAATGACATAATCTCAATCGTTTGAATGATTTCTACTCGCGAGTTACACATCAATAAAATTAAATATTATATATGGTTTAATATTATTTATAGTTGTTGTTATTGTTAACTAATTTTTTAAAATTTATTTGCTTAATGTTTTAATTTATATCATTATAATTATTTAAAACATCAAACATTATTTTTTGATTTTAAAGGTAACAATATAATCATTTATATAGAGTTATATTTAACTGTTGTTATTATAAATTATTTGAAGCTACTTATTTGAAAATTTTTAACGATTATAAAAATATATTTAGGAAATATTTTAGTTAAACTGATATTACAATTTAGTTTTTACATTTATCACTATAATTTATCACTTTTAACTAATTACAAAATATTATTTGTTTTTTTAGTGGAACTGAAATTTATATTTAAGTTGACACTATAATGTTATATTTAAATTAACAATTTAAGTATTTTTTCAAAACTGTTTAAAAGTTGTAACTTTAAATTGATAATGATTTACATGCAACATCATTTTAAATTTAATAAATTAAGTATAATATGTTAAAATTTAAAGACATAACTTTATAAATAGAAGTAAAGATATTATTTTAAAATTGAAATTTAGTATATTTATGATTACACTTTAGGTTTGATACTTATTTAACATTATTAACCAATTTACAATCATTATTAGAAAGACACTACAATTTATCACTTTTAACTATTTATAAAATAATCTTTGGGTTGTTTGAGTTAAATAAAATTTATATTTAAGTTGAATCTATAATGTTGTATTTTAATTAATAATTTAAGTATTTTATACAAATTGTTCAAAAATTATACCTTTAAAATGATAATGGTTTACATCCAACAATATATTACAACTAGTAAATTAAGTATAATATGTTAAAAGTCAAAAGAACATAATTTTATAAGTAGAAGTAAAGATATTATTTTAATATTTAAATTTAGATT